ATGGAACAGCTCAGACTTCAGTACCTCATCTGAGAGTTTAAAGACGACCATTTCCATTATTGATTATTTTGTTGTGCGTTTGAAATGGCATTGGCTCAGTTTACCTTCTTTGAAAAAATAATTTTAAAAAAGAGAAACCAATTTTCTTATTTGAGAACTTAAACGCATTAAATATTTGAAGTATTTACTTAATAGGAAAATAATAATAATAATAATTACAACATTTATTTTCCCTGAAAATTCTCAGCATTGTTTAAACAGTGATTACAACTATTCCAACCTGCTGTGTGATAACTCATAAAACATTTAATAAATATATTTAAATGTGCTCAGAACAAGCACTTCAGTCCTTTTTATTATTTCATTTCTGTAAGGATCCGTTTAATTTAATACTTGGCAGCTTTGTTTTGGTTTTTTTGCAAATCCCCAAAACTTATAAATTAAATACCAAATTTTCCAAAGAGAAAAAAGCTCTTCATTTGTTTGTAATCACCCAACACTGCTTTAAAACTGACAAAGTTTCAATATAATGTGATGAAGAGGCCATGAGAAAATAGGTGGCTGTTGTGACTGTATTCATTTATGTTTCAGTTCAGCTCATTTCTTACAGTTACAAGCCAGAGGCAGCAGGAGGCAGTTTTCAGCTTTTTAATGGAACATAAAAAAACATTCATCTGTTCATGAGGAAAATTCTTCCCTTAAGAGCTGCTGGAGATCAAAGAAAGCTAAAAGAGCGAGTACTGAATTTAAAAACATCAGTTTCATGGAAAGAGAACAAAAACAATAACAAACTAACTGCTCGGGGCTAAATTAGTAACTTAAATATCAGTTACTGCAGGTTTAAACCTGCTGCTGTTTTCAGAGATTTCACATTAATTATTAATAATGTTCAGCATGTGAACACAGCAGCCTCGCTGTGACAGGTCATGAGGCCGGTTAATGATATCCTCTATCATAAGACTAGCGAGCCCGGGGCAAACTCCACTGGTCGGGGAAGATTCCAGTGAGA